CAAAATCTTGGAAAGTATAGGAAATAATCTGAAAACTCTAAAATGAAAAAAGATACTTCTTAGAACTGTTTCTTTTCTTTCTTTCTTTTTTTTTTTTTTGAAGAAATTGTTGAAAATTTAAACAGTTTTACATGCCAGAACTACAAATTGATGGCATCATTGACACTGTAGCCCCAGGAAAACTGGTACATGTGTGCCCAAACCAGTAGTTGTATTATTTCTGTCCTAAGGTGAAAAAGTCAGTAAACTATTCTTTTAAAAAAGTAAGTGCTCATATTTTTTAGCGTTCTAAATTATTACACATACAATTAAGTATCTAGGAGGGGGGAAATTTAAACGTACTAGGAGAGAAAATTATACATGTTCGATATGTACTAGAGTATGAATTAATAATTTTGACTCTAGATTTGAATCTGGGTTACATTGTTTACTATGTGTGTGACATCAGGAAAATTACTTAATCCCTTTTCAGCTTCAGTGTCTTCATATGTGAAATGTGGGTAAGAAAAGTTCCCACCTCATAGGGTTATTTGGAGTAAATGTAATCTGCCTAGTCAAGTCCATTGTATATGTAATCACAAAAAAATGTTTTGTGTGTGTGCTGATGTCTCACACTTTAGAGTAATACTGGCATATTACTTTAAATCTTTTCATGAAAGTAGAAGTTCAGTAGCCCAGCTAAGTCACTGCTTAGAAAGTGCTAACGGCGGTTGCCCCTGCTACCATCTTAAACTTTAATGATGTACTTATAGACAGTGGGCAGAGACCCCAGTTTCCATGTTGCCTCTGCAAATACTGGACAGGTGGCAACCTTCTTTGCTTTCATTAAAGTGCTTGCCCACTTGAGATAAATTACCTTTTCCAGGTATCCAAATGGTGTGCCTGCAAGAGATCATTTACCTCAAACAGGGGAGAATGTTACTTCCGCCGAAGGGCTGGAATATCAATCATCATAAGACTGGACCAAAGAGCCTTCAGATGATTGAACGTTTTCAAATGAGTGGTCCAGGCTGAATTTCTCAAGATAGAAACAAATGTGCTGATTTGCTTTGAAATATCTCTGTCCACATTCAGAAGCATATGGATATGAGTAGAATGTTAATATATTTTGTTACACATTTATACATTCTAACTTATAATTGGAATCTTAATTATCTAGAAGATAGATGACTCAAATATACACACCCCTGCTATTAGTACTCACAAGTTTGTATACTTAGAGCTAACTTTCTAGAGGTCGTGGCATCAATTTCAGGCAAAACTAAGAAATCCAGGTTGTATGTAGCATAACATTGAGATGTCACGCTTAGGAAGGCCAAAGCAGTAAGTAAAGATATTTGTAGTTATTGGTATATATTTATAAGTTTTAAGGCTTTATTGAATCCTAACTAATAACAGAAAGAACTTTGCTACTTCAAGTGTGGTCCCTGTGTCAGCAGCATCAGCATTAACTGGGGATGTGTCATAAATGCAAAATATCAGACTCCACTCCAGAGCTAATTAATCAGGATCAGCATTTTAACAAGCCCCTCAGATGATTTATATGCACAGTAAAGTTTGTTATTTGCACAGTAAGTTTGTTATTTATATAACTTCACTCATAACTTAAACTGAAACACTACAAGAGGACCATGTATCATTATTGGGATTTAAGGTACTAGTGTCTATTTTGGGGAGCCACATTAATGTATCAAATTTTCTTTTGTTATTTTCTTTTTATTATTACTTTTGCCTTTTTTTCCTTTTTTTTTTTTTTTACATATTTTATAATGATAATTTTTAAGCATATAGAAAAGCTGAAAAGAGTTTACAGTGAATAATATTTTGGTTTTTAAATTAAAATGGACTTGCCTATTATAATTTTTAAGAATGATTTTTGAATAAAGAATTTATCCTTGGGAGAATTCATGATTATGTAAAATTCCAGGGTCATAGCATAGCATCAAATTTGATCTATGGATTCACAATCCTTTTTCTTACAATTTATATCAATTGTATTGCATATGTTGACCTAAGCCAAAGATGACCTTGAAGACTTAGGACAAAAAACTTAGCACAATAGGTTTTAAATTTAAAAGCCTTGGGGAATCCTGGTATTTTAGAGAAGCCTAACTCTGCCTTGTAAAGTGAACATAGAAACTTTAATTACCTTTTATTCGTGACTCAGGATTTTCATCTCTTTTAAATATAACAAAATAAAAAATTTGATGTCCAACATGACATATACAATGCTTTTTTAAAAATCACATTATGGTTCAATGTTCTTAGTTTGGCTAAGCAACAACTTTCACCGTGCTTTGTCTTGTTAAAAGTTAGTTTTAATTAGTCTAAGTTGTAAATGTATTGTTTTACATTCACTACATTAATAAACTAAAAATGTTCGGTGACTGTATTTCAATAAAATGTGTTTCCTTTGTAACCCTACATATTTTGATTTATTCACTTTAAAGTATTATTCTGAGAAGTGAATACATAAGATTTACTAGACTACCAAAGGAATTATAGCACAAAAATGACCAAGAACCCCTGCTTTAGATAATTATTCCCCCAGATATCATTTGTCTGATTCAATTTATGTTTTGGATAGGTTCTGTTATTAGGCATTTGTATTTATATTGCTATTTATAAACTAGAGGTCTGGTGCACAAAATTCGTGCACAGGGCCAGGGTGTCCCTCAGCCCTGCCTGCACCCTAAACCAACAGGCGGACATCCCTCTCACAATCCAGGACTGCTGGCTCCTAACCACCTGCCTGCCTGCCTGCCTGATTGCCCCTAACCACCCTGCCTGCCAGTCTGATAGCTCCCTAACTGCTCTCCTGGCAGCATGATTGACACGTAACTATATAGGATAGATTAAACGATAATTGCTCCTACCTGGTTTGGCTTAGTGGAAAAGCACTGGACTGTAGACTGAATGGTCCCGAATTTGATTTCGGTCAAGGGCACGTACCTCAGCTGTAAGCTCGATCCCTGACCCTGGTTTGGGTGTGTGCAGGAGGTTACCAATTGATCTGTCTCTCTCACATCAATGTTTCTCTCTGTGTGTCTCTTCCCTACCTTTCCACTCTCTAAAAATCAAGGGGACAATATCTCGGGTGAAGATTAATAACAAAAAATTAAACTTAATACTGTATAATGTATATTGTGAAAATACTTATTACTCAGCAAAGCATAAATTATTTAGCGCTCTTTCTCTAATTCATGGAGAGTCAGTAGTCTTGAGGAGTGCATGCTTCTTTCCCACTTCTTCAAAATTCAGAGCAATACCTTATAGAATTATATTGTCACTTAATTTCACCTTTTCTAGTGGTTGGTGTCTACACAAAGACATTTCAATGATATTGTTTAAAAAAATACACCCATATTATTCATTAAAATGTAATGGTTAAAATTTGCTTTTAGGGCTCTTTGTGAAATTTAATTACTTTTTTATTCCTGAAAATTTCCTAAAACTATGCTTTTATCTGGTTTATTTAGCAAGAATAACTTTTGACATACCATAAAATTTTAACATTAATTTCTCTTGGTATTATTGAATGCATTCTTACATTCAGCATTATTGTAGCTGTTATAGAAGTAAAAAGAAATACAATTAATCCAGCAAACATATAAAAACATACGCTAGGATGGCACAGTAAAGATAAAATGAATTTCCTAAGTTGAAAAAAAGACTTCTGGAGTCTTTTTAAGGAGTTACAAGGCAGTTAGAGAAACAAGAAATACATTGGACTGATGTATCATGTTGAATATTATAGATATAAAATTCACTGTTTGTTCATTTATTCAACAGTGACCTATTAAATGTGTTATTTAATATTTAGTATTATTAAACTGATTACCCCATATTCTTAGAAGTCATTGCATCAGTAACTGATAGAAATAAATTCTACATGGAAGATATACTTTTACCCAATTAATAATGTATATTTTATGAATAACTTCTAAGCAATATAATTTTCAAATTCTGACTGTGCATAAGTTAAAAAAAAACTTTTTTTTTTTTTTTATATTGAGGAGTAAAATAAATAAAACAAGACCAAGAATTTTGAACACAAGGCTTCAGTGAAATGGTTGTTTATAACAGAAAATACTGACTGATCACCTTCTCAATGTTTCATTTTAGTGCTGAACTATACACATTCTTAGAATCATAAAACATTTTTGTTGCATAAATATACGTTTTTTGTGTGCTTTTGATGTCACCACAAGATTTAAATTAACTCCAAAATCAGAGCCACTTGAAATATAGAACAATATATTGCTGAATTTAATCTCTCTATGCTTGTCATTTTACACAGACAGTATCATAAGACAAGTAATGACAGATTAAGACCTGCCTAGCAGAGGGAAAACTAAATTACACGACTTTTATTAAGGCATAAATAAACCTATTAAGCATTATCTGGAATACTAATTAGTAGAAAAAGCACTGACAATTTTATTTATCAACATTAAACACAATTATGAATTACAGGCCTGATGAATCTAGCAGTCAACAGAGCATTTTGGATATGCAGGGACCTTAAGCCCATTATGTGAGAAGGATGATTACCAAAACCCTGTGGGGAAATAAGTAATTGTAGTTGTAACATTTTAATTGCCTTTGAATAAGGCAAATTATATTTTCTTGTCTGAGAGTATAAATAGTATGACATTAAGGTAACAAGCTGCAGGGGCTGGAAATAGAAAATGGATTTATATTATGTTTTAAAACAAAGAAAAGACTAGTGATACATTATTAGTATCATAATGGTCAGTGGTGGATGACTGTAAATACATGCAGATTTTTTTAGATATATTGTTTCATAGGCAAGCTATTTTCTGCATTCCCTTTCCACAGTGAAAATTAATGTGGGAGGAGACTTTCTGAATAAATCTCTACAGGTGTATGGAAATTATGTAATTGAGAAAATTATATTGTGTTATGATTAGAAGTATTATAAAGTGAACAAGAGACAATTGACATCTTTTTGTCTTTCCTCCCCTTTTTCTTTGAAGATCCAAATTCTAGAATTTGTGGACATTTACTTATAGGTGCAGCCAAGAATTCTTTTGCAAAACTCATGGATAAAATTAGTTTGGCAATGGAGAGCTTACCTTCGCACTGTAGCAGCAGGAGTATTACACACGTGGAAAAGGATTCCCTGGTTCAGAGGTTGGCCCGAGGACTTCATAAAGTGAACACGCTGGCCCTGAAATACGGACTGCAGGCCCATGTGCCCATTTTGGTATGTGTGACATTTTATTAATTAGGGACTTTAAGGACCTGTGAATGTAATCCTGAATCAGACTTATTTGAAGTTTAAATTAATTTTATGCAAAAGTATCTAGATTTCCTTTAGATTTCTTGTGACCTTTTTTTTTAAAAAAAAATATATTTTATTGATTTTGTACAGAGAGGAAGGGAGAGAGATAGAGAGTTAGAAACATCGATGAGAGAGAGTCATCGATCAGCTGCCTCCCGCACATCCCCCACTGGGGATATGCCCGCAACCAAGGCACATGCCCTTGACCGGAATCGAACCCGGGACCCTTCAGTCCCCAAGCCGACGCTCTATCCATTGAGCCAAACCGGACTCGGCGATTTCTTGTGATCTTTTAATTCAATAAGGAAAACCACCTCCAGATAAGTGTTCAAATATCCAAATACAAATGTTCTGGCATGAATTCTGAATTGACTGCTCTCTATAAGAGACCTGTAATGGAACTATATGAAACATGACTGAAAATTGTATTTTCTAGCCATCTAGATTATTTCTTCAATTGTTCATTTTAAATAAATTTTATTGATTTTTTACAGGGAGGAAGGGAGAGGGATAGAGAGTTAGAAACATCGATGAGAGAGAAACATTGACCGACTGTCTCCTTCTCACCCCCTACTGGGGATGTGCCCGTAACCAAGGTACATGCCCTTGACCGGAATCGAACTTGGGACCCTTTAGTCTACATGCTGAGGCTTTATCTACTGAGCCAAGCCGGTCTTGGCTGTTCATTTTATATAAGCCAAATTATTGTTCTGTGTTTAACCTGAGTTACATTTAATTTGGTAAATGCCATTGCTATTGATTTATTAGTAAATCTGTGGCTACTTCTTGTAAAATTGCTCTTGTTTAACAACAGAAAAGCACAGCATCGCTACAGAAGCAAATCTTTGGATTTACACAAAGGCTGCACGCGGCGGAAGTGGAGCGCCGCTCACTGCGCTTAGAGGTCACAGAATTCAAACGAAACGTGAATGAGATGAAAAAGGAGCTTGACAAAGCCCAGGGTCTCCAAATGCAATTAAATGAATTTAAGCATTCTGTAAGTATACATGCTTTGGCTTTGGTGAACTCTCTTCTGATTTTGTGTGTGTGTATGTATATGTTTGTTTTCTTTAACTTATGTTTCTCAAATTATTTCAAGTGCCATTAAAATTTCTTTTTTTTTCAGAATACTTCCCTTCTGAAATACCCCAACATGTAGTTCATACTTCAGAGTTGGTAGGAGATTACATATTAAACATTCTCACCATAGGAAAAGCAATGATAATTATGTGACATGATGGAGGTGTTAGCTAATGCTACACTGGTAACCATATTGCAACACACAAATTTATCAAATTAGCACATTGTACACCTTAAACTTCACAATGTTATATGTCAGTTATATACTAATTTAAACAGTTATACCAGATGTTTAAAGGAATACTGATTCTGTGTCAGCAGAACTCATAATCCTATTAAAATTATGCTCTGAAAGTATAGAAAGAGATTCAATGAGGATAGCTGAAAGGCTATAACAAATAAGCCCCCAAATGTATAATAAACAACGTAAAATGCCCCAATGGAGGAGCCTGATGTTTGCAGTGGGGACTGTTTTTTTTTCTTTTTGTTTTATATTGAATATTTTGAGTAAATTAGATTACTTAGTATGAAATTAAGTTGATTTTCTTAAGAAATATTCATTTTGTCTAACTTCTATTAAAGATTTATATGCATTATTTAAGAAAGCAGAAGATAGCTGAGAAAAGGCCTATGCCAAATAACATTAGCTCAAGATTGAAATGTATAATCACATGAAGCATAGCAAAATGCAGATATCTAATATTCAATTTGTAGTTGGGTTATTTATAGCATTGATGTTCCTAATATGGATATAGGAATATTGAGTTAAAATATGACTCGGAAACTTCTAAACTGTATGTAACTGATGCTAGATAATAGAAATATGAATACAAAATTGGTTTCTTAAATCTACCATCAAGGTACTTTGTGTACCTCCTTCTTTGGGAAACCTAAATTTTGCAAGTTTAGCTTCAGTTTAAATGTTTCTTTTGGTTAATTTGTAATTTGCAAATTTTCACATTTGTTGTAATAGAGATAGCAGCAGGTATTAATTCCATGATAATGTAAATTGCTAATGTTAAATATTATTTCAAATAGCTATACCTTCAAAGGGCGAAGAGTTCTTATAAATTCAGCATGTCAGGTAATCATGAATCGTCCTTCTGATTTATTTTTCTTTTTGATGAATGTCTAAAGACAGTACAGTTTCCCCCTCATTCTCGTAGTTGTTTGCTTAGAGAAGAAAATTGTATGAGCTGCTTCATTCCCCCCATCCCCTGATTATAAAGGTAATAAACAATAGCCAAATAAAAATACAAACAAGTATAAAGAAGAAAGTTCAAATCCCCCTAATCTAATCACCTAGGACCAATCACTTTTGAAGTGTGGATGTGTTTTATTCCCTGCATTTTTCTCTGTGTATATATGCAGATAGACATATAGAGTAAAAATACTTCTTTTTTTTACATTTTTAAAGTACTACATTTTTCTGTGCCACTTATTATTAATTTCATTTTAGATAAATTAATATTCTATCATAATATTGACTGTTCAAAATTTGACTGTCCCCTACTTATAGACACTTAATTATTTTCCAAAAATGTTTTGCCATACTTAAATCATAAACAGCTTTTGTGTATACTTTTAAGAGTCAATTCCTTCAGTGTGTGTGTGTGTCTTTCCTTTTGATTTGTTTTCATTTGCATATACTAACTAAATTTGGGATCTTGAGATGGTCTGCCAAAATGGGAAGAGACAGCCATTGATGCAATTTGAGATTTATAATATAGGCAACTATAAATAGGTTTAGCTAATAGTAAACTTCCTGAAAATTGGAAAGTCCTTTATTTATGTTGTTCCCTGTAATATATTTGAATAATTCTAGGTATTCTACACAATAAGATTTCTTAGTTCATACTTAAGTATTAGGAAAATAAGTTAACATGTTATCTTTGATTAGTTTGAAAGTAGTCAGGGCTAAATTTCCAGAACCTAAAGAGGTTATAAGAGTCTGAAGAGAAGTTGCTAGAAGGTGACAAATTCTTCTTAAGGACTTTGGTCAAATAACTGACTTGCATTAAAAGCTAAGAATATGTTCCATGAAATATTTAGTGTGAATTCCTTCAACTGAAGTGTAGAAATAAAAATAGAATTAATGGAAGTAATAATTGAGGAAATGAGATATGTAATTTTTATATTTTGACATATAATTGTGAGGTATAAAATTGTTGATGTAAGAAACATTCAAACCTGTAGAGAATTTTTTATGACTTTGAGTCAAACAGATAATAACTGAAGGGGAGCAAAATCTCAATGGATTGAGAAAATGCTTTAGAAGATGTCAGATTTGCAGGTTTTTTAATACATTACAGTCAAGGAGAAAACATAAAAGGAAGGTTACATGGAATTCATTGGTAGTAGATTAAGGGCCAAGAGAAAGTAAAGTCTCTGTGATTGGTTAAAAAGTAAAATGAAGAGACACACTTCTTTTGTGTTGGTGGGAATGGGATTGTTACTCATGAACATTTACAGCACATAGAGTGCAGTGAGGGCAACAAGGTAACAGTGCAGGGTTCTGTTGTCTCCTGCTCTGGTGCTGGCAGTTGTGCCCTGAGGGGTCTGGCACAGATGACTCTGACATTTCAAAGGTATGCTATCTTAGATGCAAAAGGACAACTGACAGGCTCATTTAAGGTAAAGACTGACCTTTGTCAAGGAAGCCACAGGAGTAGGACATGACTACCTCCATGACCCACTTTTAGTGAGGAATGTTTATATTTAGACCCTCCTATGTGGTTGCTTTTAGTCTCTGAGTTGGTGGGGCCCACCATGCAGGCCTCCTCTGAGCTTGTCAGGTTTAGTTATGTGGCCCCTTTCCATCTACAGAGTTAGTGAGGGTGATTTTTAACATTTAATGACATATTCATAGACACATATCAGGCATTCACCATAATAACTTTATTTTTTCACCCTAATCACTTTAGAATATTGATTCATTTATTTCTCTTATATCAATAATAGTTCAATATTTTATTTTACAGACAAGGATTGTGGGGCACAGCATAGCTAAGTGACTTGCCTAGGAAGTCAGGCTCCAAAAATCCTACGTTTAACAATTTCATTGTAGTGGCTAATGTTCATATCCAGTTGTGTTAATAAAGGATTGTTTTATTAAAAATGTAATAGATTGGGGGAAAGATGCTGTTTTCCTCTTAAAAAATGGGGAGTGTGCCTGCTGCCACTCATCTTTTACTGATTTCAGGCAAACTGTTTACAAGGAAAATATAATAGCTTGATTAGATTGGTCTAAAATTATAACGTAACATTCAGCCTGCCAGAAGCTATTCAGTACTTTTATTGTTTTGGAATACCATGTTCATCTACGGACAGCTGTTCTTAGACAGCTAGCAGCCATGATCTTATTTTATTAGCTTCTTAAAGATATGCTAATAAAGAGATGGTGCTTTCTCACACCATCTCTTTGTTATTCTACACTGTTATACTTGTTTGATCCTGTTTGCAGAAGGCTGAATGGAATTGAGGCAGTTTCCAGGAGGGATAGAGGGACGAGAGAGGCTACATTAGCTAAGGTTTTGGTAAAGGAGAAATTCTGGAGGAGTGGGAAGAAGTCCTGCAGAATGGCAGGGATCTTGATTTATAGAAATCAAACTGAGTTCTAGCAAATTGTTCTCTCTACATGAACCACATGCTTGCTATTGTTGACTCAAGAGGAAACTATAAGAACATTTATATTTTTGTCTCATTTGTCAGAAAACTCAGAGGTCAAGTCCACATTCAACTGTATTAATGTATATTTTTCAGATGCATAGAAACTTGTTAAAGGCTTTAATTCCCACAATCATCTATATTAATGAAAGGGTAGTATGCTAATTAGGGTTGATGTCTTCTGGATGACCATCTGCATGTCCTTCTAGACAAAGCCATAGTGGCTGCCTGAGGCTTAGGCAAGCCACGGATGGGCCCAGGTAAGCCTTGGATGGTGGCTGCCATTGCCCAGGGCTGGCCTGAGGCTCACACAGCTGCATTCAGCTATGAGGCCCAAGGCTCAGGCAGCCATGGTGGCTACCAGTGGCAGCAGCAGCAGTGGAGTGATGGGAGTAGTGCCTTCCCCTAATTTGCCAGGTCACCTCTGGCAGAGGGAGGGGCCAAGGCAGAGGTGGTAAGGGGCAATCAGACCAGCAGGGGGCAAGATAGGGGCGATCAGGCAAGCAGGGGGCAAGGTAGAGACAATCAGGCAGGCAGGGGGGCAGTTAGGGGCAATCAGGCTGGCAGGCAGGCAGAGGCAGTTAGGGGTGATCAGGCAGGCAGAGTGGTTAGGAACAATCAGGCAGGCAGGCAGAGGGGTGAGGGGTGATTAGGTAGGCAGGCAGGTGGGCGATTAGGAGCCAGCAGTCCTGGATTGCAAGAGGGATGTCTGTCTGCCGGTTTAGGCCTAAATCAGTAGTTGGACATCTTTTGAGGGATCCCAGATTAAAGAGGGTGCAGGCTTGGCTGAGGGACCTCCCCATCCGTGCATGAATTTCATGCACCAGATCTCTAGTCTATATAATAAAAGCCTAAGTGTCCACATGGTGGAATGACCAGAACGACCAGTTGCTATGATGTGCACTGATCACTAGAGGGCAGATGCTCAATGCAGGAGCTACCCCGTGGTGGTTAATGTGCTCCCTCATAGGGAGCGCTGCTCAACCAATAGCTGAGCTTATGGCTGGTGAGTGCAGAGGTGGTGGCGGGAGCCTCTCCCTCCTCTGTGGCAGTGCTAAGGCGCAGTGAGCTGAGCAAGTGGTAAGGAGCGAGGGGTCTCAGACTGTGAGAGAGATATGTGCTTGCTGGCTTAGGCCTGCTCCCCACGAAGCTGGCAATTGGACATCCCCAGACTGCAAGAGTGCGCAAGCTGGGCTGAGGGTCTCCCCAATCCAGTACATGAATTTCATGCAACAGGCCTCTAGTAATTTTTATAAAACATGTTTATATATCAAGATTTAAACTGAATATATGGATTTACTTGAAATAAGTTTCCCAAGATTTTATTTAACTAAATATGATAACTTTGAAAGTATGGCCATGTGCTTTAAAAACTAGAGTGATTGTTTTTTATCTTGACTTACGAAATTAAGAAAAACAAATTGTACTTTTGTCATGTATCAGACATTTACAAATGTTTGTGTTATACTATTTATGTTAGCAAATATAGTTCTGAAGATTAAATGATACAAAATGCTGTTAGCTGATAATTGATTTTTTCCCCTTATTTCAGAAATTGATCACCCATGAGAAGTTTGAAAGTGCATGTGAAGAACTGAATAATGCATTATTTCGGGAACAGCAGGCACAAATGCTCTTGAATGAACAGGCACAGCAACTGCAGGAGTTGAATTATAGACTTGAATTGCATTCCAGTGAGGAAGCTGACAAAAACCAAACTCTGGGAGAAGCTGTTAAGGTAGGAAAATATTCCTTGCATAATGGTTTGTTTCCTCTACGCATGGGTCCTTGAAGGATTCGTGCCTATCTCCTGAGCTGATCCCAAGATAAGAAATTTTTATTCTTCAAGAGCTTATATAGATGGAATGAAATACGGTTCTGGGACCTCAATTCCATGTGTATTGAAAATGTAAAAGTAGGTTTTACTTGCTAGTTGAAAGCAAAGTGGAGATTTTCAGTAATAATATTCTTTATTTCACTTACCTTTCTTGATGCTCCCCCATACCCCACTTTTTAAAACTTGTTTTATGCCCTCCAGACCATGAAACTCCACATATCTGTTGGACTTTGAAAGGTTCCAGGTCTAGGTCTCTGGTTCTTATGTCAGAACTTGCTTAGGGATGGAGGAGGTTTGTCTAGGAAGAGCTGTTCTCCCTCCCTGTCATCTATTTGTGGGAAAGGTCTCTGGAAGGGAAAATAAAACAGAAATTTTCATTTAGAAAATTTCATTAATAGATTTAGGACTGTGGTATCTGTTGGCCATAAAGTATAATAGGATTCTAGTTTATGATTACAATACTTGTGGAGCTTTTTGCTAGTGAGGTTATACACATTGGAATGGAACAACTAAGTCCAGGAAAACCAAAATGATATAACATGTCTCTATATTGGGTATCATACCTAATATAGTAAGCAACTCAGAGTTTATATATAACTTATTATATACTAACATAATAATGTACATCTTATATAACTTATCATATACTAACATAATAATGTATATCTTAATAGCTAAATGCTAATTCTACTAATAGTCAAAATTTATTGAGAAGATTTCTATTTGTCAGGCACTATGCTAAATACTTTATAAACAATTCTTGCATATAATCTTCACACAAACTCTGTGAGATGATTCTCATTTTGTAAATGAGAAAACTGAGATATAAAGAAGTTGCATAAGTTGTACAACCATTAGTGGTAGACTGAGGGAGTCAGACTTCACATCTGCTTTCCTAACCACCACCTATGTGTATTATTAATTCATACATATATATCTCAGGCTCTGTGCTGTGGTCTCTCCATGAATTATTTTACATCATTCTTAAGTTACCTTGTGAAATAGGTACTATGATTTTTGGTAAATTGAGAGAGATCTCAGTGGAGTTGATTATGGTCTCCTGATCTATAAATATTGAAACTGGGATTTAGTTTTTAGAAACATTAATTTAAAATTATTAACCTGATTTCTTATTATTGTAGATTTAGATTCATTCCATTTTTTTCTTGCTATTAGAAATATTTCTAAGATGAGCAATGGTGTAGCTAAATCTTTATTTATATAGCTATGATTATTTCCTCAGGGTAATTTCCTAGATGAGAATTACCAGGTCAAAAGCCACATATGTTTTAGTATAAATATTATCATTTGGCCTATAGCAAATTTTTTACCAGTATTATTCTCTCCTAAAATGTATGAGAATTTCACTATTTATCTAACTTGGCTATGACTATTTAAATTCCTCGCCCTTCCCCAATTTGAACAATATATCATTGTTATTCTTTGTATTTATTTGATCAAGTTGAACATTTCTATAAGGAAACTAGCCATTGAACAACAGTTTTATGCTTCATGTTTCATTAACATCCTATATAATAAAGAGGTGATATGCAAATTGACCCTCACACCTATTAGTGAGGAACAGCCAAAAAACTGAACTGCAGGATGTGTGGGGTGACCAGGCCAGCAAGGGGGGCTATGAGGGGCAACCAGGCCATAGGGAGAGGGGCAGTTGGGGGCAACCAGGCTGGCAGGGGAGGGACAGTAAGAGGTGACCAGGCCAGTGGGGTGAGGCAGTTGGAGTTGACCAAGCCAGCAAGGGGGGCAGTGAGGGATGACTAGGCCAATGGGGGGGCAGTTAGGATAGACCAAGCTGGCAGGGAGGGTGCAGTTGGGGGTGATTAGGCTGGCATGGGGGCAGTGAGGGGTTATTAGGCCTGCAGAGATGGGCAGTTGTGGGCAACCAAACTGGCAAGGGGGGCAGTAAGGGATGACCAGGCTGGTGAAGGGGCAGTTAGAAGTGCCCAGGCTGGCATGGAGAGTGCAGTTGGGGTGACCAGCCTGGCAGGTAGGACAACTGGGGGAGATTAGGCTGGCAGAGGAGACAGTGAAGGGTGACCAGGCTGTTTGGGGAGTAGTTAGGGGCAACTAGGCCGGTGCAGGGGAGTCAGTTAGGGATTATCAGGCCGGCATGCAGAGGCAGTGAGGGGCGATCAGACCAGCAGCAGGGGGCATTAGGGGTGCCCAGGCAGGCAGGCAGGTGAGTGATTAGGAGTTAGCAGTCCAGGATTGTGAGAGAGATGTCTGACTTTCGAATCGGGCCAAAACTGGAAGTCAGACATTCATCCCCCAAGGGGTCCCAGATTGGAGGGTGCAGGCTGGGCTGAGGGGACCTCCTCTCCCATGCACGAATTTCATGCATTGGCCTCTAGTATAATATAATTTTGCTTTGAATAAGCATATAACTATGTCATATTAGAGTCTTTTCTCTTTGCAATAGCTTGTAGTTTGTGTTTAGTTGTAGTATCTTCCAGCAGATAAAAAGCTGTATTAATTTATTTAAAATGCCTGTAGCTTAAATATTGTTGTCAGGAATGTAGGATTGTTTAATTACTACCTCTTAATTAGAAGTAGCAGGTGGTAATGTGAAAATGCTCTCTTGTGGGAGGCAGTATGATTCAGTAGAAAAAGCACTGGCCTTGGAACAAGTATGTCTGAAATCAAATCCCAGTTCTGTTACTTAGGCAAATAATTTAACCTTTCTGAACCTCAGTTTCCTCTTCTGCAAAATTAGAGATAATGATACTTAAGTTCCAGAAGTTTTATGATAATTAATTAAAATACTGTTTGGAAAGCAAGTATATGCTTGATAATATTCTTCTGTTTTTCAATAATACTTGAATGAGTAGTATTTTCAGTTATCGTTTTTTCTTTAAAAATATATATTTCTTGTTCTTCCTTATAAAAACAAAAATAATATCACAAATAAAGATGGAAAATTACAGAAGGAAAAACAAATCATTTATAATTTAAAAATGACCACTTTTTAACATTTGGGGTTTTGTTTTTAATCATTTGTTCTATATCTAATCCTATATAATAAAAGGGTAATTATGCAAATAGACCAAACGGCAGAATGACCAGTTGCTATGATGCGCACTGACCACCAGGGGGAAGCCTCTCAACTCAGGAGCTGCCCCCTGGTGTTCAGCGCGCTCCCACAGCCGGAGCGCTGCTCAGCCAGAGGCCCTGAGGCTGGGCTCACGGCTGGCGAGAGCTTCTCCTTCTGCAGCAGCACTAAAGATGTCCAACTGACAGCTTAGTCCCGTTCCGCGTGGGAAGCGGACCTAAGCTGTCAGTCGCACATCACCCGAGGGCTCCCAGACTGTGAGAGGGCAGGCGGAGGGCTGAGGGACCTTCTTGAGTGCATGACTTTCATGCACCAGACCTCTAGTAGTTTTTATAAATCCTACTTTGGACTTGATGCTCAAAATGGCCTTTCTTTATGATACAGCTAGATTTTGGGTAACACTCTTCTTGTATTTAGAGTAAAGGAGCCTAGCAGGTGTGGTTCAGGGGTTGAGTGTTCAATTGAGAATTATCTTCAAAATGGTCCAACCCTTGTAGAACCAGTGTGATCTCATAGAAAGAAATTTAAAATATTCAGCAGGGATGCTTCAGAGAACACAGTAGGGACTTTAATGGAAAATTCAATATTACAAAGCATGTAAAGAAATGACTTGTACATCAGATGAGAGAATTTGCACCTCTGGTGGCAGGAATGCTGTTTAAGATATTGATATAGAGACAGTAAAGCAACAAGCAGATTGTCAAATCACAGCGGGGAGGGGAGGAGGATCTGGGGGAGATAATAGATCAACCGAAGGACTTGTATACATGCATATAAGTACAACCAATGGATATAAAACTCTGGGGAGGGAGGGGATGTGTAGGAGGGAGGGAGGGAGGGGGGCAAAAAAAATCAATAAAATATATAAAAAAAATAAATAAATTAAAAAAATAAAAAAAAGATATTGAAAGGTAGTTTAAGAGATATTTTAAAATAATGTTTTTAAATGTTCTGAGAAATAAGGTATGAATAGAAATTTTAAGACAAGAAATGAAAATCAACATTGAAATGAAAAACTCAGTGAATGTTTTGAATATTGGGTAGATATAAATGGAAAGATATCAGTGGATTGGAATTGTCTATCTGAATTGTTACAATTTTGTAATCCTGTCCATGAAAATCCTAGACATTGGTTGAGAGAGAATGGCTTATGGAAAAAAATCAAGGATTTATTCACAAGTCTCCCAGATAGTTTTGTCTAACTCTGATCCAGCTTTTATTCACCTTTTCATCATCATTTCTGTCATGTTTAATTCTATCCCATTGAGCTCCAGGAGCCTGAAAGGGTCTCAAAGATGCATGCCTCCTCTTTGCACCCTGTATCATTCATTCCTCATCTTTTGCAGCTGCTCTGGCTTTTTATTGCTTTTGTGCTTTATTATTTTTCACTCTTAAAACATTAATTACATATAAATGAGAAAGATGAAGCAAGAAGAAAAAGGAGAGTGTTTTTTCAAATTTCAAGTGGAATAATTTGCAAAAATTTTTTTGAGTCATAGTAATTGTGTAAAGGGTCACATTTTATGAATATTTACTTTCTTTTTATTTAAAAAATGCCCTAACCTTTATATTATTAATAAAATTACTAGCCAACTCTGAGGGTATATGAATGTTGCAGTGAAGTCATTTAATAATTTTGTATTATAGCTGTACTTTCTCTAGTAAACTTTTAAAAATTCATTTACTTTAAAAAACTTAAACCATTTTTAGTTGATAAACCCTGATTATAATAATAATTAAAATTTATCACATAACCCATTTTTATAAAGTAGGATTATTAACATCATTACTTAATTTAAGTCTTATCATTTTTTACTTTAATCACATATAT